GAGCGGCGCAGGCTGGGGAGAAGCGCGCCGCCGGAGGCGGCGCCGCGCCTGCGGGCATCGAGCAGACAAGCAAGAAGCTGCATGCTGCCCGCAGGGACTTTCCAGGACAGGCGCCCATTGGCGACGACGGCGCGGCGGCAGGTGCCGCGCAGCTGCCGTGCATCCCTGAGGCAGCCGGCTCGGCCGGGGCGTCGCGGCGCCGCCGCGGGAGGCCGGGGCCGACCGCTGCATTTGGCGGCAGCCTGGGCTCTTGCTCGGCGCCCAACAATCTGCTGTATTCAGCGCCCTCTCTGCTGATGCAGGCGCAGCCGGCGGCGCACCAGCAGGCCTGGAACAGCGCCGGCAGCTGCATCGGAGCCATCGACCTGTGGGCGACCCCCCTCGGGCAGGACGCGTGCGGCGCCGGCGCCGGCGTCGGCTCCTTCAATTGGGCCCCGCCCGGCGGCGTGGCTGCCGCGTCGCAGCCTGTGGGGTGGCACAGCGCGGGCAGCTGCGTGAGCGCCGCCGGCGACGTGATCGTTGCGCAGGCGCAGGCGCAGGCGGCCGACGCGCAGTGGCTACAAGCGGTGCAGCTGCAGCGGCGCCAGCAGCAGCTGCTGCAGCTGCAGCACCTGCAGCAGCTGCAGGCGGCGCAGCAGGGGCAGCTGCTCTCGCACGCCGGCGTGCCCTTTCCTGGAGTGTTGTTTTGACGCACCCCTGCGTATCCGGGGCTGTCCCGCTGAGCAGCTGCTTGACCTCTGCTCAGACTCTTAAGCGGCTGAAGCGAGCGCCGCGCTCGCTCGCGCGGCACGGGACACGGGGCAAAAGCCTGTTTCATTTGAATACCTCTCTGCATCCCAGGCGGCTGCCTCGCCGCCCGCACACCCTTGTGACGCGAAAGCTCCTTTATCAGCCGACTGCCAGGGCCCTGCTGTGTGCGCGCGCCCGTGAGCCCGCGCGCCGCCCTGCCTCTCCCAGGCCCCCGGACCGCCGCGGCGCCGCTCGACGCGGCGGCGGCCAGGCGTTCCAGCGTGCAGCTGTGTCAAACGATGAACTTCTGACACCCTTTATACGATTATCGGCGCCCGTGTACCTCCCAACCCCTCCGCCCGGCGCCGGCATTGCGAATGCAGCCGCAACTGCGGGGCTCAATGCATGACCCAGCCATGCCCCATGCATGGCTCTTTCGCCGGCCCTCTGGCCTTGCAGGCGCGAAGCAACGCACAAAGCTCGCCTTGGGCAGCATTTCCTGGAATGGCATCTGTTTGCATAGCTTGTCATAGGTGGGCGCCGTTATGAGGGATGATACTGGACAGTGCGCCTGTGCGTGTGGGGGATCCCGCTGCAGCGAGCAGCCAAGAAACCCGCCGCACCCATGGCGGGGGAACGGGGCGCTCCGGGGTTTTCAGGGTGGATAGTCGTGGTCACCTTAGCATCTGCCTGTCTCTGTGGTGTTCAGCATCTTCTAGCAGCGTGCGCGGCGGTGCGCCCCAAGAGGCAACATTTGGGGGCGGCAGGCGCGGGCAGGGCCGCGCCCGCCTGCCCGCTGGCACTTGCATCTATCACCAATTTTCTGCAAAGCCGCCGCACAAGGGGCCCGGCTCGACCTGAGTCGGCGTTCCCTGCCCATCCCCGGCTGGCGACTTGACACATGTTCAATGCAATGATTGGGGGACATCCTTTCGGCCCTACCTTCCCACGGCCTGTTTTGGGGAGTGGGCGGCAGCGGGGGATGGACGCGGCCGGCCTCGGGCGCATCCACTGTCTGCCCTCGCTGCTTCTGCTTCCTACAAGGCCTCTATTATGCGCACGCATTTGCAGCCGCACGCCCATGAAGCCGCACGCCGCAACCCCAGGGTTCCGACGAGCGAAGGGGCTGCGGGCTGCTTGCCACCCGGCGTCGCACGCTGCTTCTCAGCCGCCTGATGCACACACACTAATTGCCTGCTCGTATGCTATCATGGGCAGCCCGATTGCACTGCTCCTCGGCTTTCTCTTTTTTCTCTACGCATCGATCGCATTCTGCATTGCGGCGCGTGCGGGCCTGCACACACGTTGAGGGACAGGGGAGCACCGCAGAGGGGGGACGTACCTGGGCCGCAGCCCGCCTGGGTGTGGGGTCCCTTGCGCGTCTCATTGGGCACCGGCAGCGATGCGCCCCCTCGACTGGAGAAGCGTGGGGCAAACAGTTGCGCTGCAAGCCGAGGCCCGCTCTGTGGGGGGTTGGTTGTCTCCGACAGTGCAACACGAATCCTGCAGTACGAGCCGCACGGCCACCCTTTCCGTGCTAGAATTCGACTCACCTTTTCAAGGGCTGTGCCGGGACGTGCCGCGCCGGCAGGCCGGTGCGCCAGGCCGTGCCTGTGTGGTGACCGTTGCATTTGATGGCGCCTCAGCATGGGCAGGAGCCCGCCCACCGCATGCGGCCGCCGTGCAGAAACACACCTGAATCATTTGTCCCTGCAATGTCGGGAAAATTTGCCAACGTTTGAGGACTGGCAGCCGTCACGGCGCTCACCGGAGTTTCAACAGATGTGGTAATGACTCACGCGAGTAATGACGACTCGGCGTTTCTGATGCGGAGGGTGTGGCAGCGTGGGCAGTGCTAGTTTAGAGCATGGCAGAGGCAGACGAGGCGGGGGTCGCGACAGTGGTGATTATGGTGGATGTAGGCCCGGAGGCTGGACGATATCATCCTACTAAGGGATTTGACACCTGGGTGACACATCCTGCACCGTAGTTGGAACGAGCTGGCCGTGGTGAGATACATTCATGGCAGGCCGAAGCGCACAGCACTGACTGGCTCGTGATGCAGGTTGCCGGCAGACAAGTGCGGCGTCCAGTCAAAGTCTAGCGCAGGGCGATCGCACCGCCGTGCCGGCGATCGCACTGCTGGGCCGGCGGCCGACTGGACAGTGTGGCCTGGAGGTGACAAACTCGCGCGCTTTGACAGGGACGATGATGAGATGGTGCACGTTCAAAAAATTCTATGTTAGTAGTTGTTTGTGTCTTTTGTGGTATCAGCACAGATCGCGTCAACTTCGGGATCCCACCATATGATTGTGTACGCGCATACCACCTAATATGGTACCTTGCATCTCACGCGGTCACTGCCCGCCAGCCTCGCAGTCAGCAACCACGCGAACAGCATCGCTGCCACCGCATCACCTCAGCTCACCGGCGGGCACGGCGCACAGTCGGCGGCGATCGTGGGGCTTGCCCCTGTGCCCGCCGCGCCTTTGCAGAGCTATCAATGATGCATCAGATGGCCCAGCTAGCGGTGGTGATGAGAAGAAGCCCGCTCTGCCTTCAGACAATGGCGGAACTAGCTCCCATGAAGGCAGCCCCGACGACCAAGCCCAGGAGCAGCGGCCGCAGCGGCAGCAGCGGCAGCAGCAGCAGCAGCAGCGGCAGCAGCAGCAGCAGCGGCAGCAGCAGCAGCAGCAGAAACTGCAGCCACAGCCGCAACGCGAGCGCCTGTCATGGCGCGGCGCTGGCGCTGGCGCCGCGGCCGGAGCCGAAGCCGGCTCGTCGCAGCGGGCGCGAGCCGCGGGCCGCCCCCAAAGCGGCAGGGGCGGCGGCGGGCGCGGAGGCTGGGAGAAGGGCGGCGGCGCTGGTAGGGGGGCGACAGGGCAGCGGCAACGCAGCAGCAGCGGCGGCGGCGGCGGAGGCGGCGGCGGCAGCAGCAGCAAGGCCGCAGCCGAGGAGGGGGAGGACGAGGGCGGCGAGCCGCTGCCGCCAGGGTGGTTTGAGATGCCGGCCAGCATCGAGGACATGCACAGGGCCAAGGCGGCCGCGCAGCTGCTCGGAAGGCGCGTCCGCCCGGCGCGCGGCCCCGCGGCCGGCGCGCGCGCACGCGTGGCTGTGGGGCCCTGCAGCGTCTGCCATCGCCCCCCCTGCCGGCAGGATCGCGACTGATGGCGCCCTGGCGCACCGGCCCCCATTTCCTGCACACCAATCACATGCAAACGCGTTGTTGCGCACCAACAGCGCCATTCCCAGTGCTATCCTTCCTCACCCCATCTAGGCCCATCCGCACTCAACCCTCTGCCTCTTCCTCACCTGCATCCCCTTGTGCCTCCCTCACCCATCCTACCCTCACCCATCCCGCATGTTGCGCCCGGCCCTGTCTTATCACTCAATCAGTTATCCAATCAAGACTTACAAGCATCCACCCATCCATCCATTCATTCACTCATTCATTCGTTCATTCAAATTCATTCATCCACAACGCAATTGGAAACATCTGATTCAGGGGCATGACCTCTGCGTACACCAGTGGTCTGCCGCCGTTTGGCTACAAACCCGAATTGGGGGAGGCCCGGGACAGGCTGGTCCTGCAACGCATCGCGGCAGCCAACGACAGGGGGCGGCTGAGCCCAGAGTACCGGTGGGGAGCCCAGGGTTCAGGGTTTAGGGGGCGTGGGCGGCCGCGGAGCCTCCAGGCGCATTGGGGCGCTGGGAGGCGTGGTTAGAGTCGCGGGAGGGGTGTGGGG